ATTTAAAGAACACTACTGCGCATGCGTAATATTGACAGAACACTACTGCGCATGCCTAATATTGACAGAACACTACTGCGCATGCCTAATATTGACAGAACACTACTGCGCATGTGTAATATTGACAGAACACTACTGCGCATGCGTGGCACTAATAGAACACTACTGCGCATGTGTAATATTGTCAGAACACTACTGCGCATGTGTAATATTGACAGAACACTACTGCGCATGCGTAACAGTGATAGAACACTAATGCGCATGTGTAATATTGACAGAACACTACTGCGCATGCGTAACAGTGATAGAACACTACTGCGCATGCGTAACATTGACAGAACACTACTGCGCATGCGTAACATTGACAGAACACTACTGCGCATGCGTGACATTGTGAATATGTATACATTTGTGTTAATATTATTTTTAAAAGATATACATATATATACGGCTAGGGTCGGTCGGTCGGTCGGTCGGTCGGTCGTTCTTCAACTTAATATAATAAGAGATAATTATGAATTTTTGCGAAGAATTTTTAATTTATAAAAATAATTGAATAGGGGAATGTAGTCAAGGTTGGCCTACTGTCTAGGTAGGCCACTCGCGTTTTTTTGTCAAGTTCACTAGCGCCACCTACGCGCATTTTTGTCGAAGCTTGTCTTAGTGAAACCTAACTTTTTGTTCAATTACATTTTCGGAAAATCGAAAATTGTGTTTTCTGTGACGTCGGTACAAAAAAAGCTCAAAAAAAGTTTTGTGCATAATGTGAAAAACCATTAATAAAAGATAAAAAACAAATTGAATCGTCAAGGCAAGTATGCAGAAAATTTGTGGGACTCATGGTTGAAAGGAAAACAAAGTAAAAAATCGAATCCCGAAACGTATTTCTTTATGGTTACAACAATTCGGTAATGTTACTTACTGTCAAGGTCGGCCACTATGTGTTTAAAATGCGCAAAGTTGAGGACGAGCTACTTCATTTGCAAAAACTGCAATTCTGTATAACTCATAATATAATTGATCATCTTATTAATATTTTTATTTAATTTTATTAATATTTTAGTGCAAAAATTTTTTTTATTTATATTTATTTTTTTATATTGTTTATTGTTATTATTTTGTTATTTCATTAAGTTACAAACTGTAAACAATAAAGAATCAATTTTCCGTAACTCTAAACATGTCATTTTATTTTTTAACGATTAATGCCCTTTGAATTTTAAACATGGCCGACCTTGACTGTAATGGCCAACCTGGACTACAAATTTTTTTTTTTTTAAATCTTTATAACTTTTTCATTTTTAAACCTGTCAATTTACTTTGTACAGAAAAAATGTTCCTATTAAACAGGACTTTCCAACCATATACTTCAATTGTCCAAATTCATTTTTAAAAAAAAGTTATAAACAAAAGTCAAAAAGGTGGCCGACCTAGACTATGTTCCCCTATTGTTTCGAAGAATTTTATCTGAATTTTTGAAAATAATTAGATTTTTCGAAGGAATTTTATTAATAATTTTGAAAATAATGATTTCTTTAAAAGAATTTCATTAAAATTGTTGGAAATAATTTGAATTTATATGAAAATTTTTGACAATAATTGAATTTAAATAATATTTTTAAGAAATAATTGTATTCTTTCGAGAAATTTTAGTAAAATTATATTGATAATAATTGAATTCCTCCGAAATTTTATTATTTATACGAAATTATTTTCATTCTTGCGAAGAATTTTCTTCTTTATAAAAATAATTTCTCTTATAAATGCTTCTAAAGAATTTTTTAATTTTTAAAAATAATTGAATTGATTCGAAGAATTTTATCTGCATTTTATGAAGGAATTTTATTAAAAAATTTTAAAAATAATGTTTTTTTTTAAAAAATTTTATTAAAATTTGCTGAAAATAATTGGATTTATATTAAAATTCTTGAAGGTAATCGATTTCAATTAATATTTTTCAAAGATAATGAGAAATTTTATTAAAATTGTATTGAAAATGATTGAATCCTTGTAAAGAATTTTATTATTTATGAGAATAATGAAATTCTTGCGATAAATTTTATTAAAAATTTTTGAATAATAAATGAACTAGAATATTTAATATTACATACTTAATACGTGAATTCTTTAAATTTTAAATATGTAATAATTCAAAAATTGATGTTTATTCTTGAAAATACAGCATTTTTTAATTTACAAAATAATAATAAATGGAATACCGCGTTATCATTTGCTAATAGTCTTTTTATATTATTTCTCAGAGAATAAGTGAATAATTATGCACATATTAAATTTATTTATTTTTCAATAAAATTTATTTAAATTAACATTTACATTTATGCATAACATTTAAATTACCATAAAGTTCGAAATTATAAATTTTGAGTATTTAGATTGACATAAAGTTCGAAATTATAAATTTTGAATATTTAAATTAACATAAAGTTCGAAATTATAAATTATGAATATTTAAATTAACATAAAATTCGAAATTCGAAATTTTGAATATTGTGGGATAAAAATGAGCGATATTGCACAGGAGATTATTTTGTGTTTAAAAGTTTAGATGCAGAGTGAATCGGTTTGCTTGGCGTGCAACTGGCTCTTCAGTCGTTTTGTTCACTGAACTAGTTCCTCCTCTTAGGTCTGGGGAAGTCGTTCTCCCGGTCACTACTACCAGTGAAGAGACGTCGTTCAACGCGCCATGAGAGAGTGGAATGGCTTTACCCCTCTCTCTCTATATATATATGTATACAAAACTGGCCGATCCATGAAGAACGCGGACTCACCGCATACCTACACGACACGTAATGAGAACATACCATCATCATCCGGTCTGCTATCTACTATCAAACAGATACCACCAACAGGTATTGACGATTGCACCGGCTTTTCACCCTCTTTCTTCAATAAGAACAAATTTTTCCCATACGAGAATTTTATCGCCAATTTCAAGCAGTTTCTTTAATTCTTTTTTCAACTTTAAAAATTCTATAAATTACCTCATGTATGTTCTTAGGGAAAACGATCTTCAGTAAATTAGCAAAAAAAAAAATTTTTTTTAAATATCTTTTTTAATCTGAATTAGCGAAAAAATCGCTAATTCACTAAATTTAAACTGCAACGCTTTTGAATTATTCATAAAAGAATTTTAATATTTATAAAAATATTTTAATTCTAGCAAAAAATTTTATAAAAATTAAATAATTGATTTTATCTTTCGTCTAATTTTATGCAAATTCTAATTTAAATAATTGAATTCCTAAGAAATTTCTATTATTCATGAAAAGCATTGAATTCTTACGAAGATTTTCATAAAAAATTGTTTAAATAATTGAATTCTGTTTGGCAATTTATTATGAAAGTAGCAGATATATTGAAAATCATTGAATTGCGAAAAGTTTTCAACAATAATTAAATTTTACAAAGAATTCTATTAAAATTTTTGAAAATAATAAAATTTCTAAAAAGCATTTTAATATTAATGAAAATTACTGAATTCTTGCAAACGATTATATTAGATTTTTTGAAAATAATTGAATTTCTAAGAAAAAATGTAGTACTTTAAAAAATAATTGAATTCTTGTGATGAATATATTGTTATTTATGAAAATAATTGAATTTTGCAAAGAATTTTATTAAAATGCCTCAAAATAATTGAATTTTAGAAAATAATTTTCTTATTTATCTTTAATAATTGAATTCTTTCGAAAAATTATTTATGTAAATAATTGAATTGAACAATTAATTATTTCTGCAAATAATTGAATTTTCGCAAAATTTTAAAAAATAACTGAATTTTTAAGAAGAACTTTATGAAAATTGTATTTAAAATAATTGAATTCCTGGAAAAAATGTACTATTTATTAATATAATTGAATTCTGACGAAGAAATTAAAAGTAATTTAATTTCCCCTGTAATTCAATTAAAATTGTATATTTAAAATAAGTGATTTACATCAAAAATTTTATTATTTATGAAAATAATTAAATTTTACTAAACGTTTTTTAAATAATTGAATCCCTGTCAAAAAAATTTATTATTTCTGCAAATAATTGGATTTTTGCAAAATTTTAAAAAATAAGTAAATTTTTAAGAAGAATTTTTTAAAAATTGTATTTAAATAATTGAATTCCTGGGGAAAAATTTACTATTTATGAATAATTGAATTTTCACGAAGAATTTAAAAATATTTTAATTTTCCCTGCAAATTAAATTAAAATTGTATTTAAAATAATTGAGTTACAGCGAAAATTTTATTATTTATAAAAATAATTGAATTTTTTTAAAAAGTTTTTAAATAATTGAATTCCCGACAAAAAAATTTATTTATTTTGAAAATAATTGAATTTTTGCAAAATTTTAAAAAATTAAGTGAATTCTTAAGAATCATTTTATAAAAATTGTTTTTAAACTAAATTAATTCCTGGGGAAAAATTTGATTACAATTTGTGAGAATAGTTTTCCTTATTTGGAAAAATTTTTTCTATGCCGAAAATTTGCTTCTATATAAAAACTATTTTTAATCATTTTAGATTGATAATTCTTTCATAAAAGATAATAAGATTTATTTTTTATTTTAGTTTTGTATTAATTTTTTTTTTACTAAACTTTAAATGAAAAATAATTAAAAGTTAAAATTCCTACTTAAATAAATAAATAAATAAACTATTTTCAATTACTGCGGCTCAATTCTTTCTAATTTTAATAATGATAAAATAATACTTAAATAAAATGAAAATTTAGAAAGACTTTCAGTTTTTAAATAGAAAACAACTTTTTAAATACTTTAAATGAGAGAAAAAAATCTATTTAAACCAAAAATGTTATCCATTTTATCGTGAAAAGATTGTGAAAAGTTTTACTCTTTTTGGAAAAAAATTATTTCAACAACAATAAAACGGAAATAAAATTTTAATGCACATAAAACTGTTATCATTGTTGGAAGTAAAAAAAAAAATATTTTCTAAACATTTTATTTCTTACACGTGTACTTGATGCACCTGTTGGTTTTTTTAATGGCTATAGGAACTCATTAAATTCTAAGATATTTTCTTAATATACTTTTTGCGCTTTTCGAAAAATAAGTACTAACAAAAATTATTGAAATAAAAAAATATTTCAACGTGGCAACTTTGCAAACAAACTTTGCATCAAAATACTGAAAAAAAGGATGAATAACATCTTTATCTTCCTTTTGGCATTAATTGTGTTGTTCACATCCACAGTAAAGGTAAAGTTGCTTCTAACTAAAAATCATAATTTAAATGAAATTTTAAATTCTACAAAAACATTACAATTTGCAAACATATTCTTGTTTCGAAAAATAATACAAAACAAAATTTATTTTTAAGGCTCAACAATATTTTCCTGATGATGAAATCGATACAGGTATGAATGAATTTAATTGAATTTAATTATTAAATGTTAATTAAATTTTAGGGGAATTAAATTAAAAATATTTAATTGTGATTTAGTGCTTCCGTGTTTCTCTACTTTTTTAAATTTTATTTGATACTTTTGTGCTGTATTTAATTGATAATTATTTTAAATATTTCAATTTTTTAGAAACTGATGCGGAAGTGGTTTCTGTTGAGCATAAAATACACAAAAGAAGTATTCCTGAAATTTCAATAAAGATAACAAATAGAGGCACTGAGAGTGAATTTATTTTACAGTCATCAGATGGATTTTTTGCCGGTAAAGATACAAAAGTCTGGATAGCTAAAAAAGTAGGAAACAAATTTATTTATACACTGCAAAGGGAGGTGAGTAAAGAAATTTTTGTAAAGAATTTTTTAAACAATTTTTTTTTGTCCTACCTGCACGGAAAGTATGTCATTTCGGGCACTTAGAGCGGGCGCAAAGTGACTCATTACCACCCAGGGATAGGGGAAGCGGGCGCAAAATATTTTTCGCCCGCTTCCCCTACCTTCAACTTGTTTTATTTTGTCTAGAATAATGTGCAATTTTTTTTCGATTTTATCTAATAAAAATTATGACACATTTGGTTTTGTTCACATTTCGGTAATAAAAATTGTCAATTACTATATTTCCAGAACATTGTTTTCTTATTTCTATATTAAAACTTGTATCATTATAGACTTCAAAGAGTTAACATTTATATAGAGTTTAATTTTTAACTAATATGAGCGTTTAATCGTTCGTGCCCTCAATGACATACTTTCCATGCAGTTAGGACAAAAAATTATGTTAGCATCAAGGGCGCAAAATAGGTGATTGCGACGATGGCGAAATCACCTATTTTGCGCCCTTGATACGAAAATAACTATTTTATAGTTAAATAAAAGTAAAGAAGTTTTTGAATTTTTCTTCATTTTTGTGACTTAATAAAAATTCAATTTATTCCCTTATTATAATAAGGTTTATTTTTAATAATTGGATTATAATTACTATTTGTTTGGTGTAAGATGTTCAGGACTAAAGTCTCAATTTTTATTGAATAATGAAATGTAAATAAATAAATAATTCTATTTAAGTACATACAAATTAATTTAGTGTATGACTTAATGAAAAATTGAGACTTTAGTCCTTAACATCTTAAATATTTTCCTAATATATTTTTTTACTTATATTATTACTTAATTACTTTTTTACTTTCTGACTTATTACTCTTTTATACTCTACTAATTATTACTAGGGAAATTTCTCCATTAAGTTCGTATGTTTTTTTAAAATTTACATTCCTTGTAGATTATGAAGGAAGTGAATATTACATTTTACCAAGATGTTAAATCAAAATCCGCAATAGCACACACTGTAAATGAAGATGGTACTTCAGAATTTGTAAGTAATATGGTATCTCTTTGAATATTTAGCCCCTAAAGAGCTAGGAAAATTATTTACACTAGAAAAATTGTCGATTTCTGACATAGGGTGTCAAGAAGTGCATGTCCTTTGTTTGTAAACTGGTTTTAATTATCATTTAATTTAAAGGAATGATTTTACTTTTTGTCATCTCGTAAATCGAAAAGAGTTAGTTTAGTGCCAATGGAATTAAACGAATTTTCAATTTTAGAATGGTGTTATTAATTCCAACAAAATAATACGATCATTAAATAATCACGATCGCAAACGTCGGGATCTTTCATCTGAATTACTGTACAAATCAGCAAATAATGGTAGCAAAAATTATCATCTGCTTCATAAGCGAGAAGTATCAAACAATAATAACTATCACACAAAAAATACCAATCGGCAGAAAGTGGATAAAGTTTTACAAAATCCAAAAATAGTCTATCCAGAAATTTTAGTCTTTGTAGATGTTGCATTGTTTAGGTATGCCATAATTTAATTTTTTATACCTAATTTTCAATTATAAGTTATCCATTGAACACTTATATTTTCAGACACCACAACAAAGACATTGTCAAAACAGTCGCTTACGTTCTAACCCTTTTTAATGGAGCAGATCTTTATTTTAGAGAACTGTCAAATCCCATATTTCGTTTAAACATTGCTGGAATTGTTGTGTGCCAGGTATATTAATTTTTTAAAAGAATAAATCTTATTTCACTAACAAAAAATCAATTACATTATAAATAATTAGAAGCAGAATAATTAATTTTTTTTAATTTATCAAATACTCTTTCAACTAATCCTATTAATTAAGTGATTATTTTATTCATATTCACTAGGGAATACATAGAATTGTACCGATGCACACCTTTGACGCTTCTCGTATCCAACTAGACGAATTTGGAAAATTCTTGTTTAAGGAAGAACAATTTAAATTTAAAAATGATTATGATGTTGCTATTCTATTGGGCAAAAGAAATCCAATTGTTACTTCTACTGATGTAACTGAAGGTAAAACTTCTCATTATAATTTAATATCACAGATTTTTTATTATTATTTTCGATATTATAAACATTCAAGGTAGAGCAAATGTACGATGTGTTTGTCAAAGAAACGAAGAAACCAAAATGATAATGTCAACAGTGGTTGTCGTCGATAATACAATATTGTCTGGAGTTCATACCAGTGCACACGAATTAAGTCATCTGTCAGTACAGTATTTAGAGATTATTAATTTATATAATTATCAATTGAAATATCGTTGGGAAAAATTTAATTATTCACGAAATCTGTCAATCATAATAAAATAAAATACTTTCTCATGTGATGAGAATGTAAAAATATATTATTTTCATTCATTAGATTTGGAAGTGAACATGATAATTTTGATAATACAACACTAAGTGAAGAAGATAAAGAATCATGTTCATTTAAGAAAGGATTTATTATGAGCTATAAAAGGCATGACCAGAATCAATTTTACTATTCCAAGTGTTCCAAAGAAATGATGCGATATACTTTGAGGTTTTTATTTTTCGATTTGCCTATTTTTGCAACAACAAAAAAATAGTTGGCGCTGTACTTTTTGGTTTTTTCAATTCTAATGTAGTATAAAATGATTTTAAAAGCTAAATTAATTTAAACATAGTTACATATAGGCATTAAATATATTTTTATTTATTAAATAAATTTTTATAACAGTAGGCCGGAGGCTATTTGCCTTCAAAATGATCCAGGTGTTAACAGAAATGATAATCAAATTTTGAGAATTTTGCCTGGGCAATATATAACATTAGATGAACAATGTCAAAAAAGAGGATACACTTATGCAACTCCCAATGTAAGATAATATTTACTTTTTTTCTAATTCTTATTGAGAAATATTATTTACAATTTTATTTTACTTACTTTTTTTCATACTATTTATTTACTACTTTATTTATTTATTTGAACATAAACATAAAATATTTACTATTTTATTTTATTTACTGCTTATTTGAGGTGGATCAAAGTGTTTGCTTGGAAATAATTTGCATCACTAATACCACAGCCTACAACACAATTGAGGGAGCACTTGATGGAACTCCTTGTGACACTGAAAAGGTTGGATAATTAGAAATATTAATAAATTTTTCTTTTTATATTCATAAAGAAAAAGGAACTTTTTTAACCTAAAAAAAACTAATCTTTATTTTAGCAGATTCTTCTAAATTGAATCCTTTTTTTCCTTTTTTTTTCCTATTTTTTATTTTTACTAACTTACTTACTTTTTTCTTTTAGAGTAAGTTTTGTTTTGACAGTATAAAATGAGAGGATATTTCCTCTAAATATGAGTTTACTTTTTTTTGAAAATACAAATTTCTGGAAATACTAGATAACAAATTCTATGTATAAATATATTAAATATACAAAGCTACTATATTATATAAGTACTGATGAAATATTCGATTTAAATAATATAGGTTTGCCTAAGGGGAGAGTGTGTGAAACTTCCATTTGATAAAAATCCAGATATAAAATTATTATTCCCAATATTATATCAAGAACTGAAAACCAATAAATCTGCTGAAGAACAATGCACAAAATTAGGATATAATACATTTGGAGTTAGTTAAAATTCATTATATTTACAATATTTATATATGGACAACTAATTTTTTAAAAAAATTTTAATTTTATAATTTATTCTAGTCTTTTATCAAAGATTGTTATCTTCACTGCACGGATGTAAATGCAAACGAAAAAACAATTCGCCATGGACCAGCGGATGATGGAACTGTCTGCAACATTAACGGAGTAAGACAAATTTAAATGTTTTATAAAGAAAGAGATTCAAATCCAATTACTTTTAATATCTATTATTTTAATAAAAAAATTTCCCAAAAAAATTCATTTATTAGATGAAAAAAAATATTTTAATTTTTAAGAAACATTCAATTATTTCCTTAAATAATAAATATTTCACAGAAATTCAATTACTTAAAATACAATTTTTATAAAATTCTTCTCGCAAGAATTCAATTATTTTTACAAATTTGAATAAAATTCGTTGCCAAAATTTAATTCTTTTCATAACTTATAAAACTCATTGCAGAATTTATGATTTCAATTATTTTTTTACACAATTTTAATCAAATTCCTCGAAAAATGAAATTAATTATTTGAAAAAAAAATTTTTTTAAATAAAATTCACCGCAAGAATTTAATTATTCAATTCAATTCAATTCAATTAATTTTCTTCGGGAAAATTCAATTATTTTCAATGCAATTGCATTAAAATTTCTTGATGGAATTTAATCATTTTTAAAAAGTTTAACAAAATTTATTGATAAAATTCACTTATTTTTTAAAATTTTGATAAACTCTTTAGAAGAATTCAATTATTTCCAGTATAATTTTAAGTAAATTCCTCGTATCAACTTAAATTTTCTTCAAAACGATTGAATTTGTATTTTTAGAAATTTTATTTTTCTAATTATTTTTATCTATTGTCTCTATAAATAATATAATTTTCACAGAAATTCAAGTATTTAATTAATTTACATGGGAAAAAAGGTCATTCTTTTCGAGTCAAATAATATTTAATTAATTTAATTTATTTTCAATTATTTTTACAACAATTTTAAATGAATTCTTCGATTAATGCAAATATTCTTGAAAATTTTATTAAAATTCTTCAAAAGAATTCAATTATTTAAACAATTTTTAATAAAGTTCTTTATAAGAATTCAGTTTTAAAGAAATATTCCTTTACTCAATAAATTATTATTTATTGTTGTATTTAAATAATTGAATTCTCGTAGAACTTTCCAATTAGAATTTATTTAAAACTAGCCAAACTATCCGCGCGCAAGCGCGCGGGAATGTTGTATGGGGCTGCTTATTTTAAACAATTTAAAAAATTTTAAAGAAATAATTATTATAACCTAACAAAGAGATTTAACTAACTAAAATTCAAATAATTTCACTCAATGGTCTCAATTTAAATAGAATTTACATTACTAGACTTAAACTATGGCTATAACAATTACAATTAGTATCTGGGTCATCTTTTGCATTGCTTATTTTATAAGGCCATTTTAAATTAAATTTTTTAAAGAAATAATAATTATTACACACTGAAAAAAGTTTTACTTGAAATAGCGATAAGTTTCTCTAGAATAACGAAAGTATTAATTGAAGCACTGAAAAATAATGAAGCTAAATCCCATAAAAGAGAAAAAAAAATGTTAAATTTTAAGAAAATCAAATTTTTGAATTTTTTCGAATTTTTGATAATTTTAGATTTTTTACCAAAGAGACGAGACAATTAAATAAGTAAAGTATTTTCCAAAAGCACAAAAATAATGAAGCTAAATCCCATAAAAGAGAAGAAAAAATGTTGAATTTTAAGAAAATCGGATTTTTGAATTTTTTCGAATTTTTGATAATTTTAGATTTTTTACTAAAGTGTCGAGACAATTTAATAAGTAAAGTATTTTCTAAAAGCACAAAAATAATGAAGCTAATTCCCATAAAAGAGAGGAAAAAATGTTGAATTTTAAGAAAATCAAATTTTTGAATTTTTTCGAATTTTTGATAATTTTAGATTTTTTACCAAAGAGACGAGACTATTAAATAAGTAAAGTATTTTCCAAAAGCACAAAAATAATGAAGCTAAATTCTATAAAAGAGAGGAAAAAATGTTGAATTTTAAGAAATTCGGATTTTTGAATTTTTGATAATTTTCGATAATTTTAGATTTTTTACCAAAGAGTGGAGAATATTAAATAAGTAAAGTATTTTCCAAAAGCACAAAAATAATGAAGCTAAATCCCATAAAAGAGAAGAAAAAATGTTGAATTTTAAGAAAATCGGATTTTTGAATTTTTTCGAATTTTTGATAATTTTAGATTTTTTACTAAAGTGTCGAGACAATTTAATAAGTAAAGTATTTTCTAAAAGCACAAAAATAATGAAGCTAATTCCCATAAAAGAGAGGAAAAAATGTTGAATTTTAAGAAAATCGGATTTTTGAATTTTTTCGAATTTTTGAAAATTTTAGATTTTTTACCAAAGATTCGAGACTATTAAATAAGTAAAGTATTTTCCAAAAGCACAAAAATAATGAAGCTAAATTCTATAAAAGAGAGGAAAAAATGTTGAATTTTAAGAAATTCGGATTTTTGAATTTTTGATAATTTTCGATAATTTCACATTTTTTACCAAAGAGTCGAGACAATTTAATAAGTAAAGTATTTTCCAAAAGCACAAAAATAATAAAGCTAAATTCTATAAAAGAGAGGAAAAAGTGTTGAATTTTAAGAAATTCGGATTTTTAATTTTTGATAATTTTCGATAATTTCACATTTTTTACCAAAGAGTCGAGACTATTAAATAAGTAAAGTATTTTCCAAAAGCACAAAAATAATGAAGCTAAATCCCATAAAAGAGAAGAAAAAATGTTGAATTTTAAGAAAATCGGATTTTTGAATTTTTTCGAATTTTTGATAATTTTAGATTTTTTACTAAAGTGTCGAGACAATTTAATAAGTAAAGTATTTTCTAAAAGCACAAAAATAATGAAGCTAATTCCCATAAAAGAGAGGAAAAAATGTTGAATTTTAAGAAAATCGGATTTTTGAATTTTTTTGAATTTTTGAAAATTTTAGATTTTTTACCAAAGATTCGAGACTATTAAATAAGTAAAGTATTTTCCAAAAGCACAAAAATAATGAAGCTAAATTCTATAAAAGAGAGGAAAAAATGTTGAATTTTAAGAAATTCGGATTTTTGAATTTTTGATAATTTTCGATAATTTCACATTTTTTACCAAAGAGTCGAGAGAATTTAATAAGTAAAGTATTTTCCACATTAAAAAGTTTGACATTAAAAAATATATAAAAAATGCCAATACTTAACCCACAAAATTAAATTTTCAAAACAAACAAATGAATGCAGATAATTTGCTAACGGAAAGGAAACTTACGATTATTATAATGTATGTATATGGGCAATTCCACGTGAGATTTCAGTTGACCTCTTAAAATCGGCCAAAAATATTTTTTTTCTATTCTGTATTGAAAAAAAACAGATACGTATTTTTTTATTATTTTTTTGGAGGCCAAATTTTTGAGTTAGGAATTTTCAAAATTTTCGTTTTTTAAATGAAGATATATTTTTAATGTCAGATAACTCAAAAAATATTGCTTCTTTTCATTTTTTGACAAGAGAAAAAAAGTTTTGTTTTTCTCTCTACTTTTGAATAATCATAACAAAAAAAAATTTTTTCCATTTTTTATTAAAAAAATAAAAAAATTTTATAAACAAATTAATTTTTTTTAACTTTGGGTATGATAAATTTTTAATTTTCTTTTTCTAAAACATACCTGGAAATGATAACAAGGTTTTGCAAAAAGTTTCAGAGTGGGCCTGACAAATTTGATGGGTCCAAAAAAATAATTAAGCTCTCTGTGCAGGTCGCACGCACGTGGCACAATGGGACTTTTTTACAATTTATTATTAAAAATTGTTTAGAGCCTAAAAATTCAATAATAATCAAAATCCGATAAAATTTGTAGGCTCTAGACAATTTTTAATAATAAATTGTAAAAAAATCCCATTGTGCCACGTGCGTGCGACCTGCACGGACAGCTTAATTTTTTTTTTGGACCCATCAAACTTGTCAGGCCCACTCTGAAACTTTTTGCAAAACCTTCTTATCATTTCCAGGTATGTTTTAGAAAAAGAAAATTAAAAATTTATCATACCCAAAGTTAAAAAAAATTAATTTGTTTAAAAATTTTTTTTATTTTTTTAATAAAAAATGAAAAAAAAATTTTTTTGTTATGATTATTCAAAAGTAGAAAGAAAAACAAAATTTTTTTTCTCTTGTCAAAAAATGAAAAGAAGCAATATTTTTTGAGTTATCTGACATTAAAAATATAGCTACATTTAAAAAGCGAAAATTTTGAAAATTCATAACTCAAAAATTTGGCCTCCAAAAAAATAATAAAAAAATACGTATCTGTTTTTTTTCAATACAGAATAGAAAAAAAATATTTTTGGCCGATTTTAAGAGGTCGACTGAAATCTCACGTAGAATTGCCCATATGTATATGTATATTTCTATTTTCTATCAAAACGTATAAAAAACAAAAGAATAACTATAACTAACTTCAAGTGTGGACAGAGATCCGGAAATCTGGAATCACGACGATTATTATATATAATTGAATTTCAGTTAAAGTTTTAGAATTGAATATTAGAAGCGTTATAGTATAAATTTTTAGAAACAATTTTAATAATCATAAAATAATATTATAATATAATATTTAATATTTTTAATTTTTTCTTAGTTCTAAATTTATTTTCAATTCTTAGAAATAATTAAATTTCAAAATATTTTTTTAATTGAAATTTTTGAAAAATCGCAAGTCTTCTAAAATTATAATAATATTTAAACTTTTATTTTGAAATAAAATAATTATAGTATTGAATAATTTTATTTGAAAATGTCAACCAAAAATTTATTAAATTAAATCAGTTGTCAAAGTTTGAATAGTTAAATTTCAAAAAGACTTTACGCATTGAAATCATTTAAAATATTTTAATTTCTGTATAAAAGTAAAGAGGTATTTAAACATTTTTTTTTTAAATTTATTCCTTTTTTTGGAATATGTAATTTAATTTGTAAATTAAGAAAACTTTGAGTCGTTAAATTATATTTTCAGGCAGCTACTTTTTTGTTACTTTTTTCAGTCTTAAAGCTACTTTTTGCTTCATTTTTATAATTAATTATCGAGTACGAAGCATTTAATTACAAAGTACAAGTCAGTTTATAAAACTTTTTGTAAAAATTTAATTACTTTTTGTGCAGGTATGTAAAAACGGACAATGTGTGGACGATTTTTATAAATTAGCTGAAGATCATTGTAAACGTTCTGGACAATCAGCACTTTATCGAGTTAATAATGTTAGTACTCGAGAAATAGTGATAAATTGCTATTTGTTTAAGTAATTAGCACTGAGATGTGGTATTAAATTTAAAGTTTCAAAATTTACCCAATAAAATAACCGTTATGTTTTATTATTATTAGTATTATTATTATTATTACAGATTCGTGAAAAAAAATGTAAAATTATTTGTGAAAAATGGTCATACAATGTTAGTGATGCCTTGAATAATAACAACTTCGATAAAAATATATTCAAAAGTGAAATCTCAGCACCCGATGGAATAAGCTGCGATAATAATGCAGTAAGAAATATTTTCAAAATCTGTTAAATTTTTAAATATACACTTTATTTGACTTTTATTCCTTTTCAGCATTGTCAAGATGGCCAGTGTGTTGATATTTCAAGTACTGAAAGTGCTGCAAGTACCCAAAGTATCAAAAGTACAGAAAGTTCTACAAGTACCCAAAGTATTAGAATTACAGAAAGTACTAGGAGTATTGAAATCTCTACAAGCACTGAAAGTACTACAAGTAGCTTTTTTGAAACAAGTACAATTGACATTAATGTTCCAAAAAAGATTAAAACTCCCAGTGAACAATGTGAAGAAATTGGGTTGCCTTTCATAGAAACTGTTTGTATTTGAAGAATATTTTAAATTCTCTATTAGTTTGATATCTTCAAATGCTTCTTTAATTCAATTTTGTTTTCCTTTTTTCAAGTATAACGATGGGTGCATTACTAGATGTGATGATAAAAATAGCGATGACAATAAAGATTTAATTGCTCCAGAGGGATATCCTTGCCTTATTGATAACAAAACTGAGGGAGTAAGAAATATTTTACTATGATGTAAAATTTGTCATCATAACTTTTACCTAATATTTCCTTTTTTCAGTATTGTGACCTATTTGACTTTTATTCCTTTTCAGCATTGTCAAGATGGACAGTGTGTTGATATTTCAAGTACTGAAAGTGCTGCAAGTACCCAAAGTATCAAAAGTACAGAAAGTTCTACAAGTACCCAAAGTATTAGAATTACAGAAAGTACTAAGAGTATTGAAATCTCTACAAGCACTGAAAGTACTACAAGTAGCTTTTTTGAAACAAGTACAATTGACATTAATGTTCCAAAAAAGATTAAAACTCCCAGTGAACAATGTGAAGAAATTGGGTTGCCTTTCATAGAAACTGTTTGTATTTGAAGAATATTTTAAATTCTCTATTAGTTTGATATCTTCAAATGCTTCTTTAATTCAATTTTGTTTTCCTTTTTTCAAGTATAACGATGGGTGCATTACTAGATGTGATGATAAAAATAGCGATGACAATAAAGATTTAGATGCTCCAGAGGGATATCCTTGCCTTGTTGATAACAAAACTGAGGGAGTAAGAAATATTTTACCAGTATGTAAAATTTTTTATCATAACTTTTACCTAATATTTCCTTTTTTCAGTATTGTATAGAAGGCATATGTCTGGTGGAGGAATTTAATACAACTACTGTTAGCATTATTGTTTCAACAACATCTTCGAATAAATTATCCGACGATGTAAATTCTCTTATTCAGAAATGTAATGATGTTGGATTCAAATTATTTTCTCATGTTAGTGCAAAAACTGAAAAGGATTTAATTTTTAAACTAAATTTCATGTTTTTTTTAAATGCTTCTTCATTTTATTGATTTTGTTCTAGCTTGAAAAATTTAATTGCACAATTGTCTGTAGTAATGAGAATAACCTTGACTATGATGATGAGGATGATGACGATGTTATGATTCAAGAGTTATATCAATCAGATGGATCTCCTTGCATGTATAATGGAGTGAGAAGAATTTTTTAAAATTTATTCCCATTAAGAAAGACAGATCTTTATCCACTTACGTTTCTAGAAATTTCGATAATCGTAATAATTTTGTTTCAATTAATCCTTATTTTACAGCATTGCTTGGAAGGACAATGTGTTAATATGATAATCACAAATCCTAATGAAATATCAAACGACGAAAATGAAGATGCATTTGGTATAATTACTTCTTTTCTCTCAAAATTTTGTATTAATTTTAAAAAATCATTTTTAATAGTTTGTATATGTATTTGCAGTTGTATTTAATAAATTACCAAGAAAGAAGGAATTTCCAAAAGTAGCTGCTGATGTAAACTCGTTTAACAATGGAGAAAATGAAGAAGATAATGCTCCTATTGGTTAGTATCGAAAAGACTTGTTTAAATCTCATCATTTTTTATCTGACATTAATTTAATCTCATCTATATTAGATTTGTCCGATATTGACGACGATATCAAAGAATTTGCAGATGACCTAGATGTAGACATCTAGAATATATTAAATCTTCAAGCAGTGGTTTCCAATGGACAAGCCAAAAAATAATTATCTGGATTAATTAATTTTCTTCGCTAATAAGCAAAAGCGAATTAAAGTACGAAAAGAATAATTGTTTCCAACATTTCTCCTCTTTATAATTAGAAAAATAAGTTTTTAAAGAATTGTTAAGTACCTTTTCGATACTATGTGTATGTAATATATTATTTATAATATACATTATATATAATATTATATAATATGTAATATAAAATAAATTAAATAAATAATATGTATTTGTTTGTAATCGAAGAAAGTGATTAAATAAATTCAATACTTCAGTAAAAATATAAATGTTCTATTATTATTTGTTGGCTTTTATTTACAAAATTTAACTTCAAAAGGTATAATTAGTAATAATTGTTTTAATATCAGTACTACAATAAAATATCAAATTAAAAATATGTCTCATTTATTAAAATGAAGAAACCGATTGCAAAAATTTAATTATTGTTGTAACTTGTATAGTACATTTAAACGAAGACCACATTTAGTTCAAAGGAAAAAAAAATTTTGTTTTCTAGAAAAAAATGAAATTTATTTTTTTGAAATTTATTTGTACATACAGATAAATTTACTGCAAGTATTACAACAAAGAGACTTTAATGTTAAAAGACTTTAATGTTATTTCTACCAAATAACTCGATGCACATGTAACTATTCCATTGGCTAGAAGCTCATTAAATTCCTCAATATCTTCAATGCACTGTTTATTCTTTCGACAAATATACAAAGACACTTGAAAAAAAAAATCATTCTGACGTGGCATATTGTCTTCTCTAAAACTTGGCATTAAAGTTCGCAAAAAATACTGAAGAATAAAAGATGATTTACCCCTGTATTCATCTTTTTGCATTTATTGCACTACTCACATTAATAGAGGTAAATTTTAACTTTTTAGAATCATAATAATGTACCAAAATATTCTATTTATTCTTGCTTCAAATAATAATACCAAAAAATTTACCAACCAGGCTCAACAATATTTTTCTAATTCAGACAATTATGGAGGTATTATTTAATAATAATAATAATAATAATAATAATAATAATAATAATAATAATAATAATAATAATAATAATAATAATAATAATAATAATAATAATAATAATAATAATAATAATAATAATAATAATAATAATAATAATAATAATAATAATAATAATAATAATAATAATAATAATAATAATAATAAGAGACGCACTTTGATCTTAATAATAATAATAATAATAATAATAATAATAATAATAATAATAATAATAATAATAATAATAATAATAATAATAATAATAATAATAATAATAATAATAATAATAATAATAATAATAATAATAATAATAATAATAATAATAATAATATTTAATATTATTTAATTACACAGGACCACAAAATTTTTTTTAAAGAAAATATTGACCGGACCATGTTTTTTATATGTTTTTTGGGTCGCTTAATTCGAATCCAAACTCAGTTTTGCGCCATCACGTCAAGTTTCTTCAAAATGGCGGATCTAATATGGCTGTCGAATTTTTTAAAAATGTATCAGATTTACTTGAAACTTGTTACTCGGGGATTCTTGGGGTTTTTAAAAATTCAAAATGGCGGATCCAATATGGCTGACGTATTTTTAAAAAAATTATAAGATTTATTCAAAACTTGTTACTTGGGGGTTTTTGGGGTCGCTGAATACAAATTTCACCTTAGTTTAAAAAAATACAAAATGGCGGATCCAATATGGCTAACGAATTATTTAAAAATTTCTCAGATTTTGAATTTTTGAAAACTAAGGTGAAATTCGTATTCAGCGACCCCGAAAACCCCCAAATATAACGTTTCTGGTAAAACCAATAATTTTTTTAAAAATTGGTCAGCCATATTGTATCTGCCATTTTTAATTTTTGAAAACTGAGGTGAAATTCGTATTTAGCAACCCCAAAAACCCCCGAGTAACAAGTTTCAGGCGAATTGGATGAATTTAAAAAAAATCAACACCATATTGAATTGGCCATCTTAAATTTTGAATATTTACGAGTTTCTTTGATTGTTTAACATTATATAATATTTTTTCAGTGTTTTAAAGTTGTTCTTTAATAGAATCTTCTGCTTATTTTTATTTAAATCTTGTTTACAGTCAGTTTTTTTCGAATTTTATTAATTTGTGAAGAAACTTGACGTGATGGCGGAAAACTGAGTTCGGATTCGAATTCAGTGACACAAAAAACATATAATAAACATAGTCCGGTCAATACTTTTTTTAGAAAAATGTTGTGGTCCTGTGTTATTGTTCTTCAAACGCTATTGTAGGACAAAGAAATGTTGTGCCATCTTTGTAAATGTAAGAAATAATTTGACCAATTTTAATTTTTTTAGAAATTGATAGTGAACTGGTTTCTGTTGAACATTCAATTCATGGAAGAAGTCTACCTGAAATTGTAATTAATTTTACAAGTACAGGCATTGAAAAGAAATTTATTTTACAGTCGTCAGATGGATTTTTTGCTGGTAAGGATACAAAAGTCTGGGTAGCTAAAAAAGTAAGAGGGAAATTCAGATATACACTGCAAAGGAATGTAAGTAAAGAAATTAATGTTAAAAATTTCAAAAAATTTTTTTTTAAAGTTAAAAGTAAAGAAGTTTTTGAATTGTTTTTAATTTTTTTGACTTAATCAAAATGCAACTTATTCCCATATTATTTACTATTTGTTTGGTGTAAGATGTTCAGGAATAAAGTCTAAATTTTCATTAAATAATTAAATGTAAATAAATAAATAATTGTATATAAAGTACATAAAATGTAGTTAATGTTTTATCTAATGAAAAATTGAGACTTTAGTCCTTAAGATCTTAAATATTTTCCTAATATATTTTTATCTTATATTATTTCTTAATTACTTTCTGACTTATTATTCTCTTATTCTCGACTAATTATTAATAGGAAAATTTCTCCACTAAGTTCGTATGTTTTTTTAAAATTTTCATTCCTTGTAGATTATGAAGGAAGTGAATATTACATTTTACCATGATTTAAAAACAAAATCCACAATAGCACACACTATAAATGAAAATGGTGATTCAGAATTCGTAAGTAATATTGTACCTCTTTGAATATTTATTGACTAAAGGGCTAGGAAAATTATTTACACCAAAGAAATTGTATTTCTGACAAAAGGTGTCAAGAACTAAATGTTATTTGTTTGTAAACTGGTTTTAATTATCATTTAATTTAAAAGAATGACTTTACTTTTTGTCATCTTGTATATCGAAAAGAGTTAGTTTAGTGCCAATACAATTAAACAAATTTTCCATTTTAGAATGGTGTTATTGAATCTGACAAAATATTACGATCATTAAATAATCATGATCGCAAACGTCGAGATGTTTCATCTAAATTACAGTACGAATCAGCAAACAATGGTAACAAGAACTATCACCTATTTTATAAACGATATGCATCTTCATCGAACCACAATAAGTATCACCAGACTGTTGACACGAATAATGATTATCGGCAGAGAAAGAAAAAATTTATAAATACTCCGGAAATTGTCTATCCGGAAATTTTAGTCTACGTGGATAAAACAGTGTTTGAGTAAGTTATACAGCTCGTAATACAACTTTTAATACTTGATTTTTAATACTTACTACTTAATAGTATACAATTTCCTGTTAGTAGTTCTCATAAAGTGGTTAATTTTTCAGATACCATAAAAAACATATTGCGAAAACAGTCGCTTACGTTCTAACTATTTTCAATGGAGCAGATCTTTATTATAGAGACCTGGAGGATCCGTCTGTTCGTTTCAGCATTGCTGGAATTGTTTTGTGTGAGGTACTTGTAATTTCATAACAAAAAAAAAAAAAATGAAAATACGATTTCATTTTTGTGTTATATTAGACTTTATATTATATATTTATTTATTAATCTTTGTTGTAACTATACGTGATAGCAAAAATTGACAACTTGAGCTCTTGCTTTGGTAGTTGTCAATTTTTGCTTCAATACCGGCATCTGACTGAATTTTTTACTTCGATAAAGGATCCAATAAATAATAAAACGTTGGACGGAAGAGATATCGACGAACCTGTCTTGTGGGATTTTGGAAGATTTCTTTATAGTGAAAATCAATTTAAAGTAACAATTGATTACGATGTTGGTGTTTATTTACTTAATCCACATGTTTACATCCCAACAAGAGGTTACATTTTTTTAATTTTATTTAAAATCATAATTAGTTATTTTGTTTATATTAAAAAAATAATATTTGATGACTGTTTAGAAAAAATGATTTGTTTAGTAACAAATACATTTAAATAACATAGTGCACAAAATATCTGTATTAAACGCAAATTATAAATTATTTAGGTATTTCACCAATAGGATCGGTTTGTGTAAATGATGAAATACAAACTATGGTAAGATCAATGCTAATTATCTCAGATACAGGAATCCTTGATGGAATTCGAATTGCTGCACATGAATTAGGTCATTTGTAAGTTTAGATCTACAATATCAGTTCAGCTAATTCAATTAACAATACTATCATTATATAAATTGCAGATTTTAGTAGAATAGTACTTACTTTTTTATCATAATATTTTTTAATCATAATATGTTATGATGCTTTTTTAGATTTGGTACTCATCATGATAATGCATCAGTACAAGAATGTTCTTTTATGAAAGGCTTTGTTATGGCTTATAACGTATACGACCAAAATCAATTTTTCTTCTCTCCATGTTCCAAAGAAAAGATAAAATGGTATTTGAGGTTAGTACTCTTGAGTTTCCAGTTTATGCAAAATACTTTGCGACATAATTTTCAATTCTTGAATTGTTGCAATTTCAAAAGATAAATTCTAGTGTTATTTTTAATTGTATATTAAATATATTTAATATTGTAACAGTCAAAATTATGCTCGTTGCCTTCTCAATAATCCAGCTGATAAAAGAACTGATAATCAAATATTGAGAGTTTTGCCTGGCCAATATATGACTTTAGACGAACAATGTCAAAAGCATGGATACCTGAATGCATCTTCGGTACTGAATTGTTTACTCCTGCTCTTGTGTTTTAAATTTTCTTGATTAATACATTTATTATTTATTTCAGATTAATCTAGATATTTGTTTAGATATAATCTGCTTCGATGGATTTTATTCCAAATCTATAGATAATGCTGCACTTGAAGGCACCCCTTGTGACTTCGGAAAAGTAAGTTTAAAAATAATCATCAATTTCTTGTCTTAATGGTAAGAAGTCTGACTGCAACCTTCGAAAATTATTTATGTACATAGTACTGATAAAGTTATTGTAAATTACAGTACTGTCTAAGGGGAGAATGTGTGAATGTTCCATTTAACAATAGTGACAAGAATGCAGATTTAAGAGATTTATTTCCAATTAAATACCAACAGCGTCGAAGTAAAAAAACTGCTGAAGAACAGTGTGTTGGCTTCAGAAATGAAGTTGCTATCAAAGTTTGTTGAAATTTATTATAAAATTTCCAATTTTATTTTTAAACTTATCAACTTATTTTGAATTTTATTTTAGGCTTTCTTTGATGTTTGTGAACTGAAGTGCGTGTTGAAAATGGAAAACTTCTTTTACATGAAAGAATATACTGCAGATGATGGAACCCCTTGTAATAAAAACGGAGTAAGAGTTATTTGAATTTGGAATTCTATTGAATGTTATTAATATTTATTAATAGTTATTTTGATCTAATATTTCGTATATTGAATTCTTTTTTCTAAAACATTTTTACTAAATAAACAAAAGTAAACAATATATATTTTATTCAATAGATTTGTCAACTAGGACGATGTGTAGACGATACTTATCGATTGGCTGATGATCATTGTAGAAAAGCTGGAGCAACAAGTTTTAATAAGGTTGGTATTAAAAAAGAATAATAAATTCCTCTTTACTGAAGATTTCTACTTATGATGATAAGCTAAATTATGATATTATCAAAACATTTCAGTATTCTGCTAAAGAATGTACCTTTGACTGCAATATAGTTACTTACAATGTTTCTGAATATTTTTTGAGTTACGATCACGAAAAGATAATGAAAATCAAGGAAATATTTGCTCCTGATGGACATCCTTGCAATAATCGTGGAGTAAGAAATATTTGTGCAATATTTCTTGACATATTTTTCTCAATGTATCAGTACTGTCAATTTTTAAATTCTTTCAGTACTGTCAAAATGGTAAATGCATTAATAAGACATTTTCTACTGATATTATTGATCCCAGTACTTTCGTCGATGAACGGTATGGTCAATTCGCATCATCCATTAAACGATGTAAACAGAATGGAATGGAATGGGGATTGGATGTTAGTATTAGAACAATAATAGAGGAAAATTTACATGATTGATTTTTTTGTCAAATTCTCGTATACTTTATATATTTGTTTTCTTTATTTCTATAGTATGAAGACGGATGCGTTACTCAATGTGCATATAATACCAGTGGAGCTAAATATATTGATGCTGATTGGGGACTTCCATGCTCTAACAATGGAGTATGAAGCAATTTTGCAATACCCTAAATTTGTTAATATAAATATTATTTAATGGCTTTTTCTTTTTTAGTTTTGTGAAAATGGAAAATGTGTTTTAAAAGAATTAACAAGTAGTACAATTACTACAACGAGTACAACTGCTGCTTTAAATAATTTACAATCTAAATTATCCATTAAACGTTGTCAAGAGAATGGATATTTTTGGGCTTATGATGTTTGTATTTAAAGGTTTCGATATTCTTAAACCTTAATTTTGATTTTTGAATATGCTTAGCGAATTTTTTTTTTTACTTCTTTTAGTATAACAACGGATGCGTTACTGTTTGCCGGATAAGCTACCACAAACCTTATGTGATATATTTTAATGCAGAAAATGGCTTATCTTGTAATAACAGTGGAGTAAGAAACATTTTTACAATAAGCTAAATTTGTTGATATAAACTTAATTTGTCGTTTTCTGTTATTCAGTATTGTCACTATGGACAATGTGTTAATATAACAGTTATTACAAGTAGCACAAGTAGTACAACTAGTACAAGCAGCACAAGTAGTACAACTAGTACAAGCAGCACAAGTAGTACAACTAGTACAAGCAGCACAAGTAGTACAACTAGTACAAGCAGCACAAGTAGTACAACTAGTACAAGTAGTACAACTAGTACAAGCAGCACAAGTAGTACCACTAGTACAAGCAGCACAAGTAGTACGACTAGTACAAGTAGTACAATTAGTACCAGTAGTTTAATCCCAGGCATTACAATTACTGAAAGTACAACAAGCAGTACTAGTGCTTCAACTTCTTCCGTAAATGTATTACCTAAAAAGTTTAAAACTCCCAAGGAACAATGTGAAGCTCTTGGATTAACTTTTTCAGAAACTGATGTTTGTATTTTAACATTATTTTTAATTCAGTATGTCTAATGTGAAATTTTCAAATGCTTCTTTAATTGAATTTGGTTTTTCTTTTTTTCAGTACAACGTTGGATGCAGTTTTAGATGTGATTCTTATTATGATTATGACTATAACGTTGTTTATGAAGATGTTTATGCTCCAAATGGATATTCTTGCTTTATAAATAAGACATCTAAAGGAGTAAGATGCATAATATCAAATTGTAAAATTTTGTTACCATAAATTTTCCTTGACATTCTGTCTTTTCTTGTAGTATTGCTTTGAAGGTTCGTGCATTAAGACGGAACTTGATACAACTACTGTTAGCATTGTTGATTCATCAACTTCTTTGACTGAATTACCTATCAATTTAAAATCTCCTTTGGAACAATGCACTGACGCTGCACTTTTCTTCGTTTCTGTTAGTACTGAAACATTCATAGTTTTTAATTCTTTATATCAATTTTAACTTTCTTTCGAATCCTCCATTAATTTCGCATGTGAAAAAGTTCCTTGGAATGAGAAGGAAATTAAAAGTAAAAATTCGTGGAATTTGTTTACATGTGTTATAGTTTTACCATGTTTTAGCTTGATAAATTTGACTGTACTGTTGTCTGCTCCTCTGTTACTGACATTGGTAATTATGAAGATGATGATTATGATTATGAGGATTCTGATACAAATATTGTTCAAGATATATATCGACCAGATGGAATTGCTTGCAAATATCATGGAGTAACGAAAAAACTTTAACTATAATTTATGAACACAATTGAATAAATTAAAAATATTTTTATAATAATATTTCTTCATTTCTTAGCTTTGCTTAGAAGGACAATGTGTTAATATGACACTTATAGATCCTAATGACAAAGCAACAATGTGGAGTATGGATGAATTAAAAAGAAAGTATTTTAGTCTAAATTTAAATACAAAATTTTTTATTAATTTTTGAAAAATCATTTTTAACAGTTTGTATATGTTTACAGTTTTTAAAACTAACAAACCAAGGGTAATAAAACCTGAAGGAGGCGAAAATGATTTAAAATTATTTAACAATGAAGAAAATAAAAAACATCAGAATGTTTCTATTGGTTAGTATTGAAAAGATTTGTTTAAATCTTGTCATTTTTTATCTGACATTAATTTAATCACATCTGTATTAGATTTGTCCGATATTGACGACGATGTCAAAGAATTTGCAGATGGGATAGATATAGACGTCTAGAATATATAAAATATTTCAAGCAGTGGTTTTCAGTGGACAAGGCAAAAAATAATTATCTGGATTAATTAATTTTCTTCACTAATAAGCAATGCGAATTAAAGTACTAAATTTCTTATACTTGTAATCAATATATTGTAATCAAAGTTTTATGTTTGAATAAATTCACATAGTTAATGAATAGCAATAAAATTTTAGTTTTCTACTTTTACGAGAGAGAGTAAGTAATTTTTTTTTAAAATCTCGGAAAAAAAATTATTTTCTTTCTCAATTTCTGTTGAAATGTGTGATGTCCTCTCACACGTCAATTACGAATACACAATCTTATTAGTATATTATAATAGTTATATCCTAAAATACCTCAAGGCCTTTTCTGAAATTCATTCCTTTGACAGGTAGCCGAAAATGTACTGCGATTATTCGTCCTTTTCAATTGCTATTGTGTTTTTGAAAATTCTCAGGAGCTTCAGCTTCCAACTTTTGGATATATCTTTTCATCGATGAATCATCTATTGCCCACAATGAGTGCCCCTTGGGTTATTATATCGCGAGGAAAATAAATGACAATGGAAAAGTAGCAACCATAGTATTTTCTACAAAGTACATTTTTTCGCCAGCCAACAAAGAAACATCGGCGCCATAATTTGTTAATAGAAATCCATGGACAAATATTTCGTTACACATTTTCTTCAAACTCAAACCAAAAAGCATTATGCGAATAGAAATAATATTGTCAAAAAAGTGTGAAGATCTTAAAGAATATATTCATCACAATTCTTCGAAAAATCCTAATTTTTTTTTTAAATTTTGCAATTACTTTGTTTTTAATTTTTTTTTCAAAGTCAAAAAAAAACGTAAGTTTGGAAAAAATAAATACAAATTTTAATAATAATGCCTAAATACCTCGAAACGAAATATTTGGGTACATAATAAATAAAATACTAAGTCTAAAATTTATTGTCAAAGAAAAAAGATTCTTCGAATTGAAAATCATTAATTTGTATATTTTATTGAGAAGAAATGTATTTATCTTAAAATCCCGCAACATAAAAATGTAAATGCGAAAAAAAATTAATCCACTTAATCCTCCGATTGTGATTAGTTTCAAAATCAACTCTTTCGCATTCCATTCATCCATTACCGTTACAATATATATGCTATTTTCACAACAGTTATAATATTTAATTGTCCAATGTATTTTTATATTATTTATAAAATTTACTGAAACAAAAATGTAAAATTAAAAAAATTTCATTTTATAATATTAAACAAAATTTATATTAAAATATTGAACAAAATTTATCTTATATAGTAATAAACAAAGTTTAATAAAGTACAAATATAAAGTGTAACAAAGTTTAACAAAGTTTAAAAAAACAACAGTACTAATCAAAATTTGATAACATTTTTGTGATATAAAATTATAATTAATTACAATACATAATATAATGTGAAATGTAATATAAATATTATAATAACAGAAGTTGTTTAAATTTCGACACAACGTTTGTTATAAAATCAGTAAAACACTGTATTACTCACAACTGGTTTTGATTTTCTTTTTCTTTTTTTTTTGGTATATAAATTTCAATTCAGCAACCAACTCAGACGATGTTTAACAGTCTCATTTACTCATAAAACGCATGTCTATTCCGGTTCTGTGAGCAGCAGACAAACGACAATACTCATACCTTTCTGGACATTTAACAGCGATTTAACAACTACTATCGTTGTCATTTCAGCATTAAAACAAGTTATCGTGCTTTTATTTCTTATTATATTCAATTTATCGCATTATTTTTATTTACACACAAACAAACATGAGAAATGAAAATTCAAAGACATGAGAAATTTTATATTGCACAACAGGTTGATAATTTTTTTATACTCTACTTTCAAAATTTTAATTAGTAAAATTTTTTGCTAATTTTAATTAGTAACTGCCTTTTTGCCTTTGAATTAGTAAAAATATTTACTAATTTGATTTAGTAACTGACTTTTTGCATATTGAATTAGTAAATCATACTGAGAAATTAGTAGAAATTAAATTATTATTAATCAAAAGAATTTTAGTAATAAATAGTAATTTCTACTAATTTAATACATAAAATAAAAGAGTTAAAATTAGTCACATTTTCATCTCTAAAAACCTGAATTAATACATTTTGACGTTTAGCGTCGACGCTAACTTCAGAAACATATTTTTATACATAGAAAATGTATACAAAATATAAGAAAAACAATAAGTTTCTTTGAAACTTGATTATAAATTTTGAGATTAAACGAATATTTTAAACGATAAAAAAATCACAGAAGAGAAAAAAAGAGAGAATATTGAGAAGTGCATGAAAAAGCAAAGGAAAGCACGAAAAGCAAGAAGAAGAAGAAGAAGAAGAGAAAAAAGAAGAAGTAGAAATTAAGGAACAAATAGAAAGACTGAGATGAAAGAAACAGCATTAAACACCAAAGGAATGCGCGTTGATCCCTATAGTGGTTGTAAGTTCGCGTGCCATCCACCACTGGGCTGGTAGGTATACACTTGCCTTAAGTATAAAAAGAAGAGTCATGAGCAGAAGCAGAAGGAAAAAGAAATGTAAGTAGGTGCAGGAACACAAAAGAAATTCAGCGAGCCACCTGGTGAATCTTGTCAAGAATTCATTATACAATAAGAAACCACTTTTGTTGCCTCTATATATATGCCTATGGGCGATTTTTCCAAAACTCACATTTTTGTTCTGAGATTTTTCAAAAATTTATTTATTTTTTCTTTTTGATATTATACTATTGTTTATAATTCTTTTTATTTATCTTCTAATTCCATAATATTTTATGTTATATTATTTTTAAATATTAATTTAATTTAATATTTACTTTAATATTTAATTTAATATTTATATTAAAGTTAAAATTGAAGTTGCGTGAAATAAATTATTCTTATGAATTAAAATATTTAAATACATATTAAAAATTAAATATTTCACGTGTGATGATATTTTTCACGACGATAAATCTCTGTCCACATTGAACGCATTTATAAGAAAATTTCCATTTTTTGTTTGATCATCATCAAGAAAAAGGAATTTTCTCATTACTTCGTTTAAATTTTGACGATTCACGATGATACTATTGATGTATTTGACGTTTTCAAAAAATATATATTTGATTAGGTATTATATCACATTAAATTCAAATTGTATATACATACGATTAATAATATAATAACAATAGTATGATAATAGTTCTCTTAAAACTAATTTCAACATTTTTTATTTAAAGTAAAAGTACATTTTTTTTTCTTTTAAATTGATCCACTTTTAAAAAATAAAAAAAATTTTAAAAGTAGTTAAAATAAAAGAAGGATGAATAAAGAAAGAGGAAAAATTAATAGTAATAATAAAGCAAAGAAAAAATTAATAAAGAAATGGAGAAGAATTAATAAGGAAATAAAGAAGAGAACTCGCTGAAATTAATTAAATAATTCAGTGAATTTGATTAAATTTCTACTATAATTCAAGAGTGTGGATTCAATTAATCAATTAAATAATTAATAAGTATTTTAATAATCTTCAGTATTCACTAAATTCGAATTATTTAAAAATAACTAATTTAGTAAAGTTAAAAGTCAATTACTGATTCAAAAAGTGATAGTTTTAGTATTTTATTAGTAGAAAACTACTAATTATTACAATAAACCTACTAATTTCATAGTGGAAATTTACCAATTTAACACTAGAATACTACTAATTACTACAATTAACCTACTAGTTTCATAGTAGAAAATTACCAATTTAATAGTAGAAAACTACTAAATAATTCCTTCAGTATTTCATTAGTTGAAAACTATTAATTTTGTAGTAGAAAACAGCCAAATAAAAGTAGAAAATTACAATTTTGTAGTAAAAAATTACCAATTTAATATTAGAAAACTACTAAGTAGTACAGTAAACCTATTACTTTCATAGTGTAAAATTACTAATTAGTAGTAGAAAACTACCAATTTCAAAGTAGAAAACTACCAATGTAATAATAGAAAACTATTAATTAGAACAATGTTGTTACTAATTTCGTTTAGAAAACTACAAATTTAATAGTAGAAAATTACTAATTAGCCGTTGAAAACTACCAATCAAGTATTAATACTTGAAAATGACTAATTAATAAAAGGAAAACTACCAATTTAATTGTAGAAAACTACTAATTAATACAATAGATCTGTTAATCGTGTAGTAGAAAAGTATAAATTTAAGAGTAAAAAATTATAAACATTAGTAGAAAACTTTCAATTTTATAGTAGAAAACTACTGATTGGTACAATAAGTTTACTAATTTAATAGTAGAAAATTACTAATTAGCAGTAGAAAACTACCAATTTAATGGTTGAAAATGACTCATTAATAGAGGAAAACTACCAATTTATTAGTTGAAAATTACTAATTAGTAGTAAAAGCTACCAATTAAAAAGTAGGAACCTAACAATTTAATTATAGAAAACTACTATTAGTACAATAATAAATTTACTAACTTCGTAGTAGACAAAACTACTAATAACAATAGTGATATTTTACTACTTAATTTACCAGACATTTTAGTGTCAAATTAGTGGTTTTACTTTTAAAAATTAGTAAAATTCTTACTATTTAATTGGTAGATGAATCTTAATTCTCAAATTAGTAGAAAACTACTAATTCAGGAGTTTTATTTTGTAATTTGACTTTGATTTTCGATCAAATGAAAATGAAAGTCATCATTAAAGTCAATGCCAAAGTTAAAATGAAAGTCAAATTCAAAGTCAACGACAAAGTCAAAATCAAATTGAAACTCAAAGGGGTCGTCCAAAAAAATACATATAACTTTAAGGCAGGAGGGGGGTTCAGCTTTTTTTCCAGTTATAGTAGAAAAAATATTGCTAATGTAAGAAAATATTTTTTACTAGTAAGGGGAAAAAAATTACAAATTTTTTTTTTTTTGTAATTTAAGGAGGGCTCCAAAGTGAAATTAAATAATCGCACTCCAAGTTTGAAGACATTTAGAGAGTATAATATACAGAAAAAAGAATAAATATTATAGATGAAGAAAGAAGGAAAGAAGAAGAAATAAAGAAAAATAGGTGAAGAAATAAGGCAAGAAGAAGAAATAAGGAAAAATAGGTGAAGAAATAAAGAAAAATGGGTGAAGAAATAAGGAAAGAAGTAGAAATCAGAGAAAAATAGGTGAAGAAATAAAGAAAGAAGAAATAAGAGAAAAATAGGTGAAGAAATAAGGAAAGAAGAAGAAATAAAGAAAAATAGGTGAAGAAATAATGGAAAATGGAGAAAGAAATAAAAAAAGAAAGTAATAATGAAAAAATTTCATTGTAAGAAATAATAGTTATACATATGCGGTAAGTTTAAAATTATAATTCGGTACATATAAAGATCACTAAAGATTACATTTGTACGATTAGAATCGAGTTTCCATTCTTGAATATGATTGATCATCTTTTTCTGATATGTGAAGACCTGTATCGACTTTATATATATTATACTCCTCTCTAAGATTGATTATATTCGTCACAACAAAAATAAACCATACATACAATAAACACCATGACTTAAAAAGCAAGGCAAGTTTGAAGTTTTAAATTTTTATCCCTTTCACATTTATAATTTTATAAAAAAAAATTGAACCTTTTAAATAAAAATTGAAGAAATAGAAAATGATTTTTCAAACATCGTTTTTTTTAAAGTATCAAATTGATACTAAAGTCGATCATTTTGATACAAAAAATTACGATAAATCTTTTAGATCCTTACACAGTTTTTTTGAAAGTATCAAATTGATATCAAACTGGATCAAACTGATATCAAATTGGATCAAATTGATATTAAATTGGATCAAATTGATATCAAATTGGATCAAATTCATATCAAATTGGATCAAATTCATATCAAATTGGATCAAATTAATATCAAATTGGATCAAATTCATATCAAATTGGATCAAATTAATATCAAACTGGATCAAATTGATGCCATAACTTATTTATGATTTGATTTACATTTTTGGTATCAATTCGTTGCAATTTGATACTTTTCAAATTAACAGTGTATTTTTGGTATTCGTTGCAATAACTTTTAAGTTATACCAATGAAGAAAAATACAAAGTCGAAAAAGAAACGAAATCCAATGTTTAATTAAATATTCAAATCGAGAATAAAAAGGAGATATTTCAGTAGTTGCGGTTCTCGTGGGTAGTACGTAATACCGGTCAGTCAACGTTTGACACTTGTCTCGCTTTTATAAAACACGATTTACCTAAATGCTCCTTCTACATTTATGCTTATAGTATAAACTATACAGTAAATATAGTAAATACAGTAAATATAGTAAATATAGTAAACATAGTATATTTTTCACTATAAAAATAAAATTAACAGAATTTGTGACATATTATCAATAAATTATTAATATTGAAGAAATTTAGGAAAAAATAGTGAGAATTATTGTCGGAGGTCAGTAGCCTGATTCTGTAGAACTCTCTTAGTTTACAGATTGATCAGAACCTCGAGAATGGTAGAGAGAGAGAGAGAGAGAGAGGGGTGAGGAGGGGGGGGAAGGAGTGATTTTTCGAACATATAGTAGTTTAGATCAACTTTTAGAAGAGCAAGATCGCGGTTTTACTGTGTAAAACCGGCTGGGCGTCGGCGGCTGCCGCCAAGAGACCGAGTCTCGATCTCCCGAGAAGTTGCCTCTGGCTAGCGGGGTGCACCGACCGCTCCCTTCGCACTCTACCCACCAACCTTCAATCTCCTCTCAGTGCCGGACTCCTTATTTCTCTCCATTTCTTTAACTGATAAATTTACTTCCCTATTTTTAAATTTCAGCAAGAAAAACCCATTTTTTTTTTCTTTACCTACCAGAATTTATCCGAACAGAAGAAATTTCTCTGTTCTAAAATTTAGATTTCTTTAAACTTCATTGTCTGTTGTAAAACAGACAACGAAGTTTAAAGAAATCTAAATTTTCGAACAGACAACAAAGTTTGAAGAAATCTGAATTTTAGAACAGAAAGAAGTTTGAAGAAATATTACTTTAAGGAGCTGTTTTAATTTGGAAGAATTCAATCTGAAGATGGTAGGAATTTTAAGAATTAATTTTAGGCGCTTTTAGTCCTAAAGGTAGATTGAGAAACGGAGGAAAAAAGTTAAAGTGAAGAAACAATGAACTTTTTGGAATTCAAAAAATCGGGTAAAAATCAAATTATCCAATTTCTTTTTCTGTGTTTTGTATTCTTTATAACTAACTACCTGTAACAGCTTGATCGCGAGGGGAAAACAAAAGCAGCTGTGATTCAGCCACTGATTCAGGGGCACATCACTTTTTTGATCCGCACCTGTTCCTCATACCATTCCTACCACTTGAAAAACCTCCTGTTCAACCTGCAACGACTATGGAGGTTGGTTGGCTCTATAGTTGTACCTGAGGAGAGATCATGCCTTCTCACTCAGGTGGCTTACCTTGGTTTCACATCCTCTCTCTTTTCATTTTATTCTCCGTCCTCCGTTCGCCATATGAGAGTCAAGCACACGCGAATGCTGAAGAAAGACGGAGAAACGCCGCGCAGCATCCAGCAGCAGCGCTACTAGCGGCCGCCAAATGGAAAGACTCCCCGTAAGTTTTTTGATTGTGTACTGTTCGTGTAGAGCGAGCGTGAGGCCTCACCTGCGTGGGTGTGCGGAGAAGCCTACCTGACGGCGTCCAACACGCAGTAAAACCGCGCTCCTTTCAAGAAATATAGAATACCCAACGGAAAATTTTTTACTTCTAATCTAATAAAGAAGGAAATCATTATCATCAATATTTTGAAGATCTAAAAATGTGCTGTGAATTTTAACTCTCGAATTTTAACAAGTTTTGTTGTATAGAGTGAAACTTAGTGCCAAGGTGAACTATAGGTGTGCCAGTGTGTGTGTGTTAGTGTGCCCATGTGTATAATATGCCTGAATATGAGTGAAATAGTTTTTCACAACAAGAAAAACCACTTTTTGGTTCACTTTTCGGTTCATGCTCGGATTAGTTCTAAGGATCTAGAAATACCAATGGAGATCAAAGCAGACTTGGATTAAAAATTCCCTTCACTTCTTTTACAAATCAAGGTTTGAATTACAATCAATTTTTCAATTTGACTCCGTTTGCGAAAACTTTTTAGACTGAATATGTCTCGTTTGAAAGATAAAAAGTCTTCGTCTAAAGCAAGGGGATTTTTGTGATCAAACATGGCTGCTGGGACCAGCCATGACGGGACCGCGGAAGCCATGTTGGCAGGTGTGCTTGTTCTGATAAGTCTCTGCACTCGTAAAACAAGTTGATAATAAAGTTTTTAGCAACTTTTTTTCCATAGTGACCACAAACTTCTATTTGATATTTTTCTATTCAAAAAAATTAAATTCTTGTCTATTATATTCCGAACGGTACATGGTAAAAAAGTGCTAGTTCATTCTAATGTTGATAGGCATTGTGCAATCACAGGGCCATGAATCTTTTCGATAAAAAAAAGACCCCTCTTATTCTTGAACTAACTTCGATCACACTATATAGAGCATTGACCTTTAGATAAATAATAAAATTCTTTCGAATTTTTAAATCCGTATTTAGCATATATTATTGATAAGGTCTATTAATGTTTCGGTTCATAGAGAGATAAGGTGAAAGTAGAAAAATCCGAGACAATTATTACAACTGTGTGCCAACAATCAATACGTAACGATATCCTTTTGATAAATTTAGATTCCCACACTTTTCCTTTTGAAAATTGCATGGTCTCTGTGTATCGCAATAATTAGAGATATTTAGTCTTAAAATTTGTTTCTAAAGCTTCTCTTTATATATAAGGTTTTTTTGAAAGTTTTGCTACAACACTTAGAAGAAGTTCTTTTTTGTCTCTCATCCTCTCTTTAGGTTGATTGGTTTCTTTAATAGAGGGGCATCATAAAAACCGGTTGTAGAAATTTCGGTACTTTGATGGGACTAGTCCATGACTCCAAATATGCTTATCTTGTTGATTGTCAACAACTTCAAGTGTATAACTGAAAATGTATTCTTGATTTTGAATTTTTAGAGTCTTTTGGGTATTAAGAGACATTTGGAATAATGGAAATTTTGTAAAGTAATTATGATGGGGAAATATTTTCTTTTAAATGATGAAAGCAATTTATGGTTTGTGGAAAGAGAGATCTTTTTAAGGTCTACAATTTTTTGTGGTTCATTTTATGAAGCTCAGGGGATTAATAACATCTAAAGCATAAATATCATAAATATCATAATCTGAATATCTAAGATATAAATATCTTTTAGATATTTGTTAAACATCCGTTTAACATCTGTTTAACAATATTTTGACTAGTAGTAACAGTTACCATCTAAACAACAACCATTTAAACAGTTACCATCTAAATTATTACCATCTAAATAGTTTTTATCTAAACAGTCATCATCTGAATAGTTCTCATCTAAATTATTACCATCTAAATAGTTTTTATCTTAACAGTTATCATCTGAATAGTTCTCAGCTAAATTGCTACCATCTAAATAATTAGCATCTAAATAACTATCATCTAAATAATTATCATCTAAATAACTATCATCTAAATAATTAGCATCTAAATAGTTAGCAACTGAATTGTTATCATCTAAATAATTAGCATCTAAATGATTAGCATCTGAATAGTTATCATTTAAACAGTTACTAACTAAATAGTTATCATCTGCTACTTCTAAACTATGAAAATTATTATCATCTGAATAATTATCATCTAAATTACCATCTAAACAGTAGTCATCCAAATTATCATAAATGCGATTCATAATACACAATATGCACTACCTGAAACAACAGATAAAATCAAAAATAACAGAGAGTATCAAAAGCAGCAGATGGTACCTAAAACAACACACTGCACTTAAAGCAGTATCATCTAATAAAATAGGAGTTGTTATCTAAATTACCATAAAAATAATTATTGAAAATACCCAAAATAACTAAAATACGTAAAAATATACCTAAAACATCAAATATTATCCGAAGTAACATTATTTAAAACTATAGACGAACTAAAATAATAGAAAGCATAAAACAATAGATAGCATCTAAAATAACGGATAGTATCTAAAACAACAGTAGAACACTTAGTTCTAGTTCAATTATTTAGTATGTAGATCAGTAGATAGTGTCTAAAACAACAGATAGTAAAGCAGTAGATAACATTTAAAACAAAAGATAGTATTTAGAACAATAGACAGTATCTAAAACAATAGTACATTTAACAGCAGTTAACATAATATCCAAATTAACAAAAATACGATATTATCGAAATTGATACGTTTGCCTCGAAGCAAAAGTGACAACCTTTGCTACAAGGCGAACGTATCAATTGCGAGTTTGGAGAACTGACATTGTGATAATATAAATAGAAGATAACAACATTTAACCATTTCTGATCGATAAATAGTGTCTAAAATAATTGTTCCTTTTCAGCTTGAAGCATGCCGACAGACCTAGTGGTATCGTCGGCCTCTGCCGTCGAGGACACCTCCAGAGGACGAGACATGTTGGGCAACAGACCATCGTCAAGTTCCTCATCCAATGCTGGACCATCATCATCAAGAAGTTTCGATCCCTCAGGAGCAATTGCAGCCTACCATCATCATCACAGTTTAGTGGCTGGTCTTGGTCATCCACATCATCGGGAATCTTCTGCCTTTGTGCCTGTCGTACCCTCGAGACTTCATCTAGCTCCTTATCCAGGAGAGATGCATCACTTGTCCGGTCCACCTCCCTCCGGTTCATCATCCTCAAATCCCGATCACGAGGGTCCAGAATCATCAGGAAGAAAGACTTCGTCAAGCTATGAAATAATGGCAATGATGGCTGACAAAAGAAAGGAATTGGCTGCTAGGGGTCTTCTCCTACCTCCTCCACCTCTCTTGGAACCACCTCCCGGATATCCTGTCTTTCCAGGACCATTTCCCGGTAGTTCAGCTCTCTATCCACCCGGTGGTCCCCTCGCACATCAACATCTCGATCGTCGACTTCTCAGAGCTCCTGGAAGAGCCTCCAGACCCAAGAAGCAATTTATCTGTAAATTCTGCAACCGGCAATTTACAAAATCGTACAATTTACTTATTCACGAGAGAACACACACTGACGAGAGGCCGTACTCCTGCGATATCTGCGGCAAGGCCTTCAGAAGACAGGATCATCTAAGGGACCATCGGTAACTACAATATCTTTTAAATAATTAAATAACCTTTGACACGATGGTGCCTATCCAAGAAAACTTTACATTATTTTTTGTTTTAGGTATATTCACAGTAAGGAAAAACCGTTCAAATGCGGAGAATGTGGTAAGGGTTTCTGCCAGAGTCGAACTTTGGCGGTACACAAAATTCTTCACATGGAGGAGTCTCCCCACAAGTGTCCAGTTTGTGCCAGGAGTTTCAATCAACGTTCGAATTTAAAAACCCATCTTCTAACACACACGGACCATAAACCCTACGAGTGCACCTCTTGCGGCAAAGTGTTCCGAAGAAATTGTGATCTGCGACGACACGCCTTGACCCATGCAGTTGGTGACGTACCCCCTGAAGCACTGGAAGAAGCCCTACGAGACGAGGATAGTCCCGAGGAGGACGGTGGTCCCGAACCCCGTCCCTCAACATCCTCTTCCTCATCCAGTTCATCCACTAATCCTTCCACATCCAGTGGAACCTCCAATTATTCTCAACCACCATCAGTTCAGACCCCATCAAGACCACAATTGCAAATTAGAAGAGATCTTTTACAAGTGAAACCGTCGCCATTAACGAACAGTGTAAATCTCACTGTTACCCAGAATCCACCACCTCCATTGCCACCGCCTCCGCCCTTAATTCTGTCGTCATATCGACGAAGACTTGGTTCACCGGGACCTTCGCGGGTTCTTCTGGAGTTGCAGGAAAGGGAGAAGGAGAGGGAACGAGAAATGGAGAGAGAATTGGAAAGAGAGAGACAATTCGAGAGACAGAGGGAGAAGGAGAGAGAGCGTGAGGAGGAAGTTAGGCCTCCTAGAGCACCTACTCCGCAACCACCTCCACCTAGACCAGCACCAGTGAGGCAGGGATTCACCATTGCCGATATTATGCGACGGTAGAGTTGGGGAATTATTGGTAATGTTAGAAATCGAAGTTGATTCTTGGGTGTCAATTGAGATTGGGAGTTCTTTTTTCAGGCGAATTCTGATTTTGGTGAACTTTACTGATGCCATAGAATTATTGCTGTAGTAACTGCTGTAGAATCATTGCCATAGCAAACATTGTTAATATGGTAGCAACTTCTGTAGAATCGGTACCATAACAAGTGTTGCTATGGTTACAGCTACTATAGCAACGGTTGCAATGGTACGGATTTTATAGCAGCTGCTACCATTAGAAATGCTGCTACAGAAGAGGTTTTCTAGTAAAGGTTGCTTATGGTAACAGATGCTATAGAATCATTTCCATAGGAACTGTATTTCTAGTAATCGTTGCTATAGAAGCAGCAGCTGCTGTAGAATCGTAACCATAACAATCATTACTATAACAACAGCTACAGCATCTTCTTTGTTGCAACAATTGTAGCAGCATTCGTTGCTATGGTAACAGTTGCTATAGGATAATTTCTGCAACAACTGTCTCTGTAGTAATTATTGCTATGGAAACAGCAACAAATAATGTTGTAGTAGCTGTTACCATAGTAACGAATACAGCAGTTCCAGCTGCTACAGAATCATTATCATAAAAACCGTTACTATAGCAGCTTTTACCATAGTAGCTTTTAATGCTGTATTCAATAATATGGTAACAGCATGCCTACTAATGGTTGTTATAGCAATGGTTGAAATGGTACCGATTCTATTTCAGTTGCTGTAATAAAAGATGCTGCTACGTAATCAGTTTTATAGGAAAGGTTGCATATAGTAGCAGCTACTTTAGAATCGTCAGTATAACAACCGTTACTATATCAGCTATAACCATAGCAGTTTTTACTGCTGAATTAAATAATATGGTAACAGCTGCTATAGAATCTTCTCTATCAACAGTTACTATGGTTACAGCTGCTTTAGGATCATTTCTGTAGTAACCATTGCAATGGTAAAAGCTGTTATAGTAACGGTTGGTATGGTAATGATTCTGTAGCAACTGTTACTTCTGCATTCGTTACTATGGTAACAGATGCTACAGAATTATTTAATTATTATATTAATAGCTACTGCAGAATCGTTTCCATAACAACTATTACTATACTAACAGCTCCTGTAGAATCATTACCTTAACAACCGCTACTATGGTAAAAATCACTATGATTACAGTAACCATTGCTGTACTAATCGCAACCAAACCCAACCTTTGTCATGCATTTATTATTCAAATCTTCAAAGTATTTATACTTTGCAGATTTGAATACTAAATGCACGACAAAGGTTGGTTTTGGTACATCAAAGTATAAATACTTTGAAGATTTGAATACAAAATGCGTGGCAATTTAATTTTGATTCATCAGAAAAAAGAAAATCCGTTTCCATCTTCTCAATATTCGAAAGAATCGTGTCATTCAACATAAAGTGAAGGCAATTAAGTACAATATTCATTTTTTGAAATGAAGTAAATTTTAATATACAAGGAAAGTAAATTAATGCGTTTTATAAGTGTAACACTAAAAACGCTATTTCCGTTAACTTGTTAATAGATTATTATTAAGAGAGCGTTGGCGTAGAAAGCGTTATTCAATCTTATTTTCTGTACCTCGAGAGCTGAACGAATTTATAATTATACAAAATCATTATCTACAATACCCACGCAAATAAAAAAAAAAGGTGCAATTCTTAAATAATTTTTCCAGTGATATTAAAAACCGGTGGAAAAGAAAACTTAGTGTCTTAACATAATATAGAAAAAGAAATGTTTTCTAGTTTTTAATGAATGATATACGATCAGTCATTGTATCTTATACTAAGTATAGGGGTGGACAAAATATTGTAAAAAATGTACTTAATGTCAACTTTTTTATAAACCGATAAAGAAACTATTTTTTAAAATTAATAATTTGAAATTAATAAATAATAAATAATAAAGTTGGTTCACTGCAAATTGAATTTAGAAAAGAGAAAAAAATCTATTTTTGAAAAATATTTTTTCGATTTTCAAGAAAGTAATTGTATTTTTGCTAAAAAGAATATTCAAACCGTTGAAAGTATATTTTTACATACCGAAAGTAATGAAAAATAATGTTTTTTTGTACATAAAAAATAGGATTACTTACAATTTACAAATATGTAAAAACTAATTATTTAAGAATGCTTTTAATTTAGAAAATCGTATTTTTAAAATTGTCTTCCTCGACAATGACTGACATTTAGATTTTTAATGAGAAATTTTTTGTAAATAGCTTAATATTACTGCTGTTTATTATAATTCATCGTTGATGTCTAAAAAAAAATTCGATGTGATATCACATAAGCAAATGTCTGAGGCTTATGCTAATACATTTCATATTTTAATGTAAACGTGTTGCGCGTATTTTACCCGGTGCTCAGTGGTAGCTTTTTAATATTTTAATGAACAGAATTTTTTATATTTAGTGATTTTTCGATTTTAATTTTATTACTGTGAATAGCAAAATTTATTTTTTATTTATACTGTTGTCAACCGTTTTTCATCATTTATTGTAAAATTCTATTTTTAGATAATAAGTTTTTTTTTTAGAAAGGATATTTTTAAAAAAAAAGGATCTCATTATTGTGAATTTTTGTTTTTTTGTTGGAAATTTGAAATTTTGTATTTTTCTAAAGTATATGGCAATTCTTTTCCGGGGAAATATAATAGTAATTTGAAAAATACATATGAGAGAAAGGAAAGTGTGAAATACAAAAATCACACAGCAAACATTGAATAAAAAAAAAAAAAACTTCTTCGAATTTCGTTTCAAATTTCCAAACTCGATCCTATCGTTTATCATTGTTTTCATATTTTTCACGCTGCGAAGACAAAAATACACAGATATTGTCTACCTTTCAGTTTACATAGGTTTTTCACGTATATATTTCATGTGTACATATTATATACACCTTTTGTGCAGGTGTCCGACAGGTAAAAAAGTATAGTTGTGCTTTGAGTTTTTGTTCTGAAAAAAGAAAAAATTGTCACATTTATATTTGTTAAAAAAAATTATTATTTTTTGAAAATAGTAGAAAAAGTGTAAAATTGAAAATTTTTAATTTTTAATTTTTAATTTTAAATTGTTAAAATTATAATTAAAATAATATTTTTTTACTCTGAGAAATTTTAATTTTTTCAAACGAAACTCAAAGTTTAAATTTATAGTAAGAGCGGCGTATTTGAAAGGAAAGATATGCTTTTGTTTTCTTTCCTTCTGTTTTTTTTTTTGGAGAAGAAAAAGATTGAAAAAAAAATATTGTAGAGTTTAAAAAAACCAGATTCGTTGTCCTTGTGAGTGTTGTTTGTGTGTGTGTGAATTTTTAAGTAAAAGGCGAATGCAAATTTTGTGGTCACGTGAGAAACCTGTGCCACCGTTTCGGTGGCAGGTGCAATACAACGAACCAATGTTTCCGAACAACTTTTAAAATTGTGTGCACTACCTGCTCTTCAAAGTATTGGAACTCTAAAAAATTTTTTTTTTTATTTTGACCCTTCTCACAATTTTGTCAGTTCTATTCTTCTCCGAAGGATCACCATTAAGTGATTTTTTTCTCTACCACAATATTCATTGCGTCACAACTTTTTTTATTTTCTTCTTTTTCTATTTCATTTTTTCGAAGAAGAAAACTTTTTTGGAAAATCTATTTTTTTCGAATTCTTCGCAGAAATTGAGTTCTTGAAAAGAACGTCTCTTTTTGTTACACTATTTCTGTTAATAAAATATTTTGATTGAAAAATTATTTAAATAAAATAAATAATTTACAAATTAAAAAAACTATTTTGAATTTTGTATTTTGTGTTTTGTAATTTTGTGAATTTCAAAAATTACAGAACAAAAATTACAATTTAAAATATAAAAAGTAAAAAATTTTAATTTAAAAATTTTTTACTTTTAAAAAACAAAATTCTAATTTGAAATATAGGGAAAATTTTGAATTTAAAATCTTGTTTCGCAAAAATAGTTTAAATTTAAAAAATTATTAATAGATGAAAAATTACTATTCAGACATTGATAAACTTTACGATTTATTTTTACAGAGTAAAATAAATCTCTGCCTATTTTTTAAATTATCAAAATATTTTCTATTCTTTTATTGTCAAAAACTTGAGATGAAAGAAAATTTTGTTAATTTTATGTGATAAATTTTTTGTGTTAAAAATTAAGGTCTTCCAATTTGGACAAAAAAAAAAGAAGAATTTTTTTTGTGCAGATAAAAATTGCAATATTGTATAGTGCGACGTGAAGTCAATATTATAAATTATAACTCCGTCCCTAATATTTTATAATAGAAGAGAGAAATTTTTCTTTTCATTTGTATGCGAGAGATAATGTGAGAAATGCAAAAAAAAATTTTCCATTTTAGAAAATAAGGAATAATTTTATATGTTTAAAGTATTGCATAAAAATGTACAATATTTTTATTATTAATATTATTATTATTATATGTATACAATATGAAAGCATTGGCAAGAAAAAGAGGACATTTCAAATGTACGATTCTTATTGCTCCTTTTCTGTTATTTTTTAGGTCGTAATTATGCGCCTTAATTAGTATATCAATTTTAAATATATATTTTTAGATTTATACGTGCGTTGACTTAAGAGTCTTTTTGTAAATTATTTTAAGAAGAGAACAATAAAACAATACAATTGCAATCATTTTTTATTTTTTCTTTAGTTAGCATTTTCTATTAGAAAAAAAATCAAAAAATTTTCATCAGAAAGTTAGAAAAACAGTCAGAAATCTGAGTATAAGAAATAATTTTAAATTATGGGCTTTGATCAGGGATTTTGAGTACATTTTGAGTATATTTTGAAATTTAGTATATTTTGACTATATTTCAAGTAAATTTTGAGTAAATTTTAAGTATTTTCTATATTTTAAGTTTATTTTGAATAAATTTTTAATATTTTTTATATTTTCAGTTTATCTCGAATTTACTTTGAGTATATTTTGAGTAAATTTTTAGTATTTTTCATATTTTGAGTAAATTCTTAGCATTATTTATATTTTGAGTTTATCTCAAATTTACTTTAAGAATATTTTGAGTATATTTTTAGTATTTTTTATATTTTGAGTAAATTAGGATTAAAATTTTAGTGTTTTTTATATTTTAAGTACATTTTTAGAATCTTTTATATTTTGAGTATATTTTGAGTAAATTTTTAGTATTTTCTATATTTTGCGTTTATTTTGAGTAATTTTTGAGTATTTTTTTTATTTTGAGTAAATTTTAATTATTTTCTATATTTTGAGTTTATTTTGAATAAATTTTAAATATTTTTTATATTTTCAGTTTATCTCGAATTTACTTTGAGTATATTTTGAGTAAATTTTTAGTATTTTTTATATTTTGAGTAAATTCTTAGCATTATTTATATTTTGAGTTTATCTCAAATTTACTTTAAGAATATTTTGAGTATATTTTTAGTATTTTTTATATTTTGAGTAAATTTATAGTATTTTTTATATTTTGAGTAATTTAGGATTAAAATTTTAGTGTTTCTTATATTTTAAGTACATTTTTAGAATCTTTTATATTTTGAGTATATTTTGAGTAAATTTTTAGTATTTTTTATATTTTGAGTTTATTTTGAGTAAATTTTTAGTATTTTCTATATTTTGAGTTTATTCTTTATTTTGAGTAAATTTTTAGTATTTTTATATTTTGAGTTTATCTCGAATTTACTTTGAGTATATTTTTAGCATCTTTTATATTTTGAGTAAATTTTCATTTAAATTTTTAGCATTTTTTATATTTTGAGTACATTTTGAGTTTACTTTTAGTATATATTTGAGTTTATTTTGAGTATACTTTGAATACATTTTGAGCATACTTTGAGTATATTCATTGTTAAATGAGTATATTTTGAGTACATTTTAAGTATATTTTGAAGATAAGAAAGAAGATAATGAAGAAAATATGGATGATGATAATGATAATGAGGATTTTCATAATGACGATGATAATGACGATCCGAACAGATAAGAAAGAAATAATTTTTTATAAATAAGAAGTGTTACCAACAGTAAGCAAATAATCATCAGAAGTTAACTGAACCTTTAGCAGCTGAAGATAATTTTTAGATCTAAAATTCTCTTCTTCCGGAACTCTTCAATACCGACACAGCGAGAAATGTTCTTCGACTCGTCTTTAGATGACGCCACTGATCCTTGAAATGCCCTTAAATACCACTGATCGGATAATAAAAACCCTAAAAAAGCATTTTTCAAAAAAAATTCTTTTTTAAAAAAATAAACATATTTTATTCAAAAAACAATATCAATAAGTACTTTTATTTTCATTAAAATAATTTCCAAAAATCCTTATACTAATCCATTTTTGAAAAATTAAGAAAGAAAAGAAATATATGCGAATAGTAGAAAAAAAAGAAGTTTCTTACGAAACGGCGTATTTCTTTTTGATTGATGACTTCGATTCTCGAACCTTGATCGGAAGTCGGATACATGTTTTACAAGGATAATAATAGCAATAAAGCAATCCTACCGCCTTTGAAACGCGTACTTTATATATGATCAATGAAAAGCATTAATCGCATTGACGTGAAGTCGATTATTCACGATAATGATTTCTTGTTCGTTTGAGTGAAGTAAAAAAAAAAGTTTTTTTTTTCTTTTTTTTATATATAAGAAGAAAAATGAAGAAGGTGAAAAAAATTAAAAAGCATATATTTTTTCACACTGTAATTGTTATAAGACATGTAGATACATTGATTGAGAATGAATCTTCAGAAGCGATCTGTCAGCTCGATCTTGATTAATCGATGAAAAATTAAATTTTTAATTGAAAATTTTTATTTTTCGTTAAATAAATTCATTACAGTTTATTGTATATATATTATCAGTGTGCAGAAAAGTAGAATCACTCACAAGGCAACTCTGTAAGGAAAAAATAATTTTTAAG